GACATCGAGGGCGCGGCCCCAGTGATGCACGTGAAGTGGCACGTAAACCACTCAGCACTGCTCTCGTTGCGAAGCAGTCGCTGTATGCCATTGATGGCGTGGTTGGACAGAGTCCGAGGCAGCCCTTCAGATGCGCGTGGGGTTGCACGTTATCCACTGGACGAAGACTGCGCTGTTAGCAGCTCTTCGTCGCATGATGTAGATAACATCGGAGCTCCAAAGGAGCGGACATTGAGGGTGACACCGGACGACGCGAAGTGCGCGTTCATCCTGGTCTCACCGAGACATAGAACCTCTATACAGAGGCGACGGCGGCGCCGTATGTTGGCTGCAAGACGCCGAGTGTTGACCCTCATCCAGGGTGTGATTACTGTATATGATGGCGCACATTTATACACCCTCGTCAACGGTATGACGATAGAGGAAGATGGCGACGTCCGCCTCAAGGATATGCCTGCAGTAGATATTCTTCTTGAGCTGGACGAGATGTCCCTTGAAGAGCTCGGCAGTGCCTTGAAGGCAGACGATTTGGCCGAAGTGGTCGTTGTACGACCGGACGAGGAGATAAGCTCGTCATCGCTTCTGGATGAAGCTGTCTTGGAGGACACGAAGAGAGTGCTGAAGGCACGAAGTGGATCGTCGATCATACGGAATCCATTGAACCCGTGCTATCCTTTGGTAAAGGAATTTCAAGATGTTTTCTCCAGACCTGCCTTCGGTCCTACCTCCGGACCGAGGTGTGCGTCATGAGATCGACCTGGTTTTGGAAAACAAATACTGCATAAGACGCCAATAACCCCTGTCCAAGGAGCAGTGACGTCATTGACGCCTTTTTATCGTGAAAAGCACGAGGCAGGAATGGTACGTGAGAGCAAGTCTCCCTATTCGACACCCACGTTTTATGTCCGGAAACCGAACGGCAAGTGGCGTATCGTTCATGCTTACGATAAGCTCAACGCTGCCACCATTCCGGCGCTGACGCTGATTCTTGAAAAGATTGTTCTTCAGAACAACATGGTGGGATGTACGAAGTACAGTGCATTCGACTTGGTCGATGGGTATCACTAATTGCTCGTGAGAGCGAGTGACATTCCGCTGACAGCGGTGAGCACTCCGAGCGGCATGCTCTGGAAGTGGCTGGCGATGCCCCAAGGGCTGTCAAATGCACCAGTAACATTTAAATGTCTATTGACGCAGTTGTTCAGGCCCCATAGGGCGTAAGCACAGATATACTTTGACGATTTTTTCGTTCACAGTCGTGCGGAGCACGATAGGACGGATGTGAAGGACCACATTGTCCATTCAAAATCTGTGCTTGAGTGCATGCGCATGAACAAAATATACGCCAATGCAGACAATTGCATCTTTTGGAGCAGATGAGATTTCCTTTTAGGGTGCTTTATTGGGAAGCGTGGCCTTCGAGTGGATCCCGCTAAGGTCAAGGCCATTGTAGACTGGCCGGTGCCAAAAAACCAGAAGGACTTGCGTAAGTGGCTTGGTCTCGTCAACTACTTGCACTAGTACAGCGCAAACTACGCAGGAATGGCCCGGCCATTATCTAACCTCCTTAAAAAGGATGCAGAATGGTGTTGGAACACCGAACATCAGGAGGCTTTTCACGGAGTCAAAGATAGCCTCCCGCATGCACCAATACTGTCGCTGCCAGACCCTGATCATTCTTTCAGCGTCCTCTGTGACACTTTGAACTTTGCCATCGGCTGTACACTGCTGCAGGCAGACGCCGAGGAGAGAGATCGGGTGATCGCGTTCGAATCTCGACAGCTCAACGCTACAGAGAAGAGTTACCCAGTTCATGACAAGGAGCTACTTGCGATGAAGTATGCACTTGTCAAAGTCAGGGTACACCTGCTTGGCTCCAAGCCGTTTATGATCTATACAGATCATGCGTCACTATGCGCTGCGACTCAGTCGCCCCACCTCTCGCAG